CCTGGCAGCTCAGCGCTCGGCGGCGGTGCGGGCCGAGCCGCCCTCCCGCAGAACGGCGACCCCACGTCCGTGCCGGCGGGACGGGAACGAGCGGGCTCATTTACCTCTTGTGTTTCGGGTTTTCTCGGAGGCGCTTTCGAGCCTTGCGGTTGCTTGACCAAAAATCATTTAACCGTGTAACGTTCACGCTTTCTTGAGAAGAAAAGTGGATGCAAGTTTTGTCTCCCAGTCCTGTAGCAAGATGGTTTGGAAGTTGCTAAACTATTTCCATGTAATTTCGCGTTATCGATACCCCTGATACATAGTGACAAGCAGAAGTTACCCCGCCCCGTACCAGCGTGCGCACCGAGGGCGCGTGGGCCGTGACCGCTGCCCGGGGAGAGGTGCGGTCCGGCGCGTGTTCTGGGATGAGGACCGCTGTGCACCAGGGCGGCTGGGGCCCCGCATTCACCGGAGTTTTGGTTCTCCGCAAAATGTTAGCGATGATTCTTATAGAGCCTAATACGAGTGTCCTTTAGTGACACCTCAAGTATCTTTTGTAATACTTGAAGGTTGACACAAAGGGGGGCCCTAGGGTACAAGGTGGAAGGATGCAGCCAAAAAGCAATCCTTTTCAGATACCCAAACCCAGGTGATAAGGTTGCCTCTGCTGTTCCCTGACATGTCTCCTGCCTGGTTCCTAAATGCCAGCCCTGTGTTTTGAATTTATTGAGGCAACATAGTGTAGTTGTGGACACATCCTCTGTTCAGATTTGAAAGGTCCTGTTTCTAAGTCTTTGCACCATAACAGAGGCTGTTGGTCAAGACCTGAAACTCTGGAACCTGACCAGCTTTAGGACAAACCCTGCCTGTGTGGCTTCATAGCCAGATGGCCCTGGGCATCGGCTTCTCTGTGCCTCAGTTTCCTGGTCTCTACAGTCAGGGTGTCAGAGTTGTCATGAAGGTATAAACACATGCCCATCTACAAGCAGACATACCGAGTAAGGGCGTCAGTCTGACATATGCCAAGCAGGGTGAACAGTATCTCATATCTCCAGAATGTCCAGATACGTGGTCACATTCAGTTGAAAAGATTTCATTGATACCTACCGTTTTCGAGGTGGGATAGGAAGTGACAGGCCCTGCTCCTGAAGCTGACCAGAGGATGTGGAGAACTCCAGCACAGGGATGCGGCACTAAGCTTTAGTGAGTCTGGCTGGGCTTGACAATCCCTGACAAGAAGTGAGAGTTGGAAGAACAGATGGGGCTTGAGGAGGAAGGCTCAGCAGGCAGGAGCGGTCCTCCAGGGAGGGAGACCTGGCTGTTGTTTTCTAGAAAAGACTGTGAGAGCCAGAAGAAGGCGCGTGTGCCGTCACCATTCCAGGGCAGAACCAATGAGACGCGGCGCCCCGTGGGTGGGAGTGGGGAGGAGGATGCAGAAGTAGGTGCAGGGAGGTGGAGGTCGAGGGAGGAGTCAGTCCAGGCCGGAGCCCGGCACCAGGGCACCAGCATGCAGGAGGCGCTGCAGGCTGGGCGGGACGGCTCTGTTCCTGGCGCGGAGCCGGAGGGCAGCGGGCTGCGGGGGAGCTCGCGCCCACCGTCTTCTGTGCACTTCAGCATCTCCAGGTTGGCTTAGCTCTCCTCTTCTATCCTGTGACGGGCTGTGTGCAGAAAGTAACTAGGCTCTTTGACGATGGTTTCTGTCTGCTTTTAACACTGCCGACACTTACCAAGCTGGCCCTCTTCAGGTTCCCAGTAAGTCAAAGGAAGCCCTAGCCCGTGTACCAGCGTGCGAGGCAAGCAGGTTGCGTGTGGGGCGTGCCTGCGTGTTACCTCCTGCCGAAAAGCCTCGGCCGACAGTGTGTCGCACCCCAGAGACCTCTGTGGAGAAGCCTGCCCCCGTGTCAGCGAGGGCCCTTGGTTGCGTACTGACACCTCACGCAGGTTGGCCTGTTGAAGAGGGATGGATTGGCTTAGTGACTAGAAAACGGGAGTCCATGAGTTGTTTGGTCTTTAAATCCTGAGGCTCCCACAGTGTGTCTGCCTCTCAGCACTGCTTCCCCCCAGCAGCCCTGCCCTCTGCTAGGATCTCCCAGTGGTGGCCTCCAGCAGCCTCCGGCCAACACTATCCTATGGCTGCGGCCCCAGCAAAGTCCTGGTATCGAGTCACATTGGTCCTGTTTGTTGGGTCTTGTTCTCATGTCCCCATCCCTGAACCAGTTACTGAGGAGGGATGTGGAACTTGTGGACCGACCAAGCCCAGGACCGGTGCCCCCGCAGGCGTGGAGCTGAGGAGCGCAGGGGGTGTCGGCTCCGCACATCCAGGCCTGGGGAGGGCAGAGTCACCCAGGCAAACTGCGACTGGGGCGCCGTTTCAAAGCAGCAGCAGGCAAAGCCAGGTATCGCCACAGCCGCCCTCAAAACGAAGGTGTATAACTATGAACCAAGTCGGGTCACTCACATGTCATGACAGAAAAAAAATCACTCAGCCAACATTTAAACATCTCCCAAGACTCAGCTCCCAGCCCGGCCCCGGGGCGCGGCTGCGCACTTGGCGCTCTGACTGCGGGCCGGCGCCCCCAGCCGTGCATGTTCATGCAGCAGTTAGGGTGCTATTGATTCACCCGCCCCCTTCCCCTTACTTCTGTGTGGCTTACTAACACACTCGTTGTATTAATTTCTTAACTGATAGGAAAAACTTTGTTTTCATATCTTAGCAAAAAACCTTGTCTCTGCTGTAACAAAGTAACACAAACTGGATGACTTAAAACGATAGAAATTTATTCAAGAGGCTAGAAGTCCAAAAGCAAGGTGTGGGTGTGCAGGGCTGTTCCCTCTGACGGCCCCAGGGCCCGTCCTTGCCCGGCCAGCAGCTGCCACCCGGCCATCCTCGGCCAGCAGGTGCGTTGCTCCCTGCTGGGCCCTTGTCACATGGACTTCTCCCTGTCCACGTGTGTCCCTGTCTCTGCTCTGATAAGGACACCAGTCATGGTGGAGTAGGCCCACCCTACTCCAGTGTGACCTCACCGTAACTTGGTTACATCTGCAAAGACCGTGTTTCCAAATGAAGCCACATTCACTGGTCCTGGGAGTTAGGACTTAAGCTCAGCTTTGGGAGGGGCACAGTTTAAACAACACTGGCCACACTGTTTGGACATATATTTGGGAGACGTTAAGGTAAGTTAAATGATGCCTTATGTGGAATTAGAGGTGCCATGAAAAGTACTTAACAAGAGGGCAGGGATGGTATAGCTCAGTGGTAGAGTGTATGCTTAGCACGCACAAGGTCCTGGGTTCCATCCCCAATACTGCCATTAAATAAATACAAAAAAAAAAGTACTTAACAAGAAACTGGACTCTTTCAAAGTGATGGGACAGTCCTGGCCAGGTCGTGAAGGACTTTGAACAAACACTTTCAGTGTTACGTGCTTCTGAGTTCCTTGATTTGAAAGCTGTCTCTCCTGCTCCCATAAACAGCCCCGAGTGCAGAATGCCCCACAAGATTGGATTCGTGGTTGTCAGCTCGTCCGGACACGAAGACGGCTTCAGTGCCCGGGAACTCATGGTCCACGCTCCGACTGTCAGCGGGTGGAGGTCGCCGAGGTGGGCCGGGCCGGGGGCCGCGGGCGGGGGGCTCTCAGGAGCAGGCGGGCTCTGGCCTCCGCTTTGTTATCTGAGTTTTATTATGACTCAGACGGCAGAGCCACTGGAGGGTCGGGTTCCCCGTGGATTCACCAGCCTAGTTACCTCCTGGATTTCCTTCCTTCTGTTTGTAAAGACTTGTTTACCCTTTTCCTGATAGCAGTAGCCCATGCTCGCCCGAGCAGTGTGCGCGTGCAGAGGATGGGGGGAAGGGCCCTGCCGCGCCCTCGACTGAGCTCCGTGGTAGAGGTTTTGCATCTGGCAGCTTTCGTGTAGCTTGGGACTTTGACCCAGAAAGTCTCTTTCGAATCCATCTGGAATGTTTGTACACCTTCAAAAATGCTCACTACTTGAGCGATGTAGTACTAGTGAGTGTGTTTCTGAAACCTTGAAGTCTTTTCCTGAGAGGCCTTCATTCTTCCCCAAAAGTGGAGGCAGAGTTCGTTGTGGAGAAGCCCCCAGGCCTGGTCAGGCCCCCTACACATCCTCAATGTCAGCCGCCTGAGGCCACTCGCCTCCCGGGCTGTCACCTCCTCGTGACTTGTTTTCCGAGATCGAGTAGAAGGTGCTGTTTGCTCCAGACTCACAAATGTGTGAACATGCATGACGTTTAAATTCAGTCATACACTTGCCACTTACTTTTATTCAGAAGATGTATTGCTGAAAAGTTGAATGTAAATCCTATTTAAAATTCAAATATATTTTCTTTTTAGAGTTGTTGAGGGGCCTCAACAATTAGGGCTCCATTCTCAATGAACTGAGAAATTAAACAGGAGTAAGCAGATGGGGGTAGACAGCCCCTTTCTTGCTGCTGAAGCTGATAACTGGGACCGAGGGCCTTATCTGCAGGCAAGGAAGCGTCCCGGGCCTGCCCCAGCTGCGCGCCGCCCTGCCCAGCCAGGGCAGCCTCCTGGGTGCCACGGGTGGGCGGGAGGGACGGGGGAGGAACACCCCACGCAGGCAGCCCGGGGCACATCCATACCCACCCCCTGCACTCACAAGTCAGTCCAGTTCTGCCTCTCCCCAGGCCGGAGGCCCGGAGTGAGCTGGGGCCACGGTTTTATGCGAACGTCTTCCATTCCCCCGCCTCCCCTGCCTGCATCCCCCTCCGGAAGAGGTCCTTTAGGCTAGATGCGCTTGTTCGGTGTTCATGCGTGAATCAAAGGTCCTTGACTGTACGGCCCGGACCCCGTTTCTAGAAGTATTTATACGAGCAATACTAACATGATTCTTTCCTGTATTGACACGGTGCCCCTTCTGGGACGTGCCCTCTCCTCGTTTTAGCAGTAGGCTTTCCAGTCCCCCCAAAGAAAGGGGATACGCACCTGGATCACCACTCAGACTCATCCTGGGCTGGGCCTGGGGTCTCCTGCCTTCAACACAGTGTTCCCTGAGGTCAGGCGCATCATATGGAGGCAAAGCAAAGTGCCCTCAAACCAAGTCTCCCGAGGGAGGGCAGGGCGCTGTTAGCCCAGGTCAGAGGGCCTAATAGGGCTGTACTGGGGGGGCCCTGGGGGGCTTTACAGGGCACAAAGGAAGTGCCTCCAGTGTCTCTCCAGCGTGGGAATCCACAGGGCCTGCCGTCTTCAGGGCGCGAGACACGCCTCTCCAAGAGAGCACAAAGTTTACACCAATGACCAGAGCCTCCAGGCAGGAACTTTTTGTCAAATTATTTTTATTCAAAAAGAAATCAGGGCGAGCAGAGCTCAGTGGCAGAGCACACACTCAGCACGCACGGAGTCCTGGGTTCAATCCCCAGCACCTCCATTAAAAAAAAAAAAGCAAAACTCAAGAGACACATAGAGCTGTCAGTTTGTCCTGAAAAATGACACACCAGCCTTTTTAGGTCATGTCAGCCTTAAAAATCAAACAGCCAGGGGTCTTACTAGCAAAGTGAGCTTACTTCACGGCGGCAAGGAACTGCAGTTCGGAACATGCAGACTGTGGCGAAACCGCAGGAAATGTGGGGAACAAAGGAGGGAGAGGAACGTTACTTAATGGAGAAAAGGAGGAGGTTGGGAGGGGCTGCTGGGAACAAAGCCCCCAGGAGGGGAGCGAGGGTCCCGGCCGCTGACATTTCCCGTTGGCCGGGCCGTGGCTGGGCAGGGAGGAAGTCCGCCTCTGCAGGCACAGCGCAGCCAGCTGCTTCCCGCCCAGGAGCGAGGTCAGGGACACCCCCGAGAGCCCCCTTCAGGGCCCCCGGCTCTGCTTTGGACGAGGTTTCCCTTTGTTCACTTGCAGAGTGTGTTGTTTCTTCCTTTAATCAGCTTGAGGGTTTTTCTGGTTCATCTATAAACTCTTGATAAGCTGCATTTGAACAGCTGAGTCATAGCCCTTTTTTTAAAGGGTTTTAAAATACACAACTTCAAAAAAATACAATTTGAAAATTTTGTCAATTGTCTTAATTTTCTTTAAACAATTTTGGAGGTTGTTTAAAAAATAATAAAGGATTTTTTCACAATAGATTACCAAGAGTCCTTATGTCTA